TTTCTCCTGGCATGCTCTGGGTCAGGGTTTGTGCTGGGCAATGTCCCCAGGGGACTGGCTGGTCCTGAATGAATGTTCCATCTCAGGGACCTCTTGCCAAGGACCCAACCCCGGGCTGGCAGCGGGGGAGCTCAGGGAGGGGGTCGCCCTTCCTGCTGCCTGCGGAGATGAGGCTCAGTCCCAGCCTGGGGAAGGTCTGTTGGGGCTGCTTCAGGGACCTCTATCTCCCAGCCCTGCACAAGGTGCCAGGCCTGCCCTGGCGGCTCAGCCCCATTGCCAGCCTGCAGCACCCACATCAGGGGAGCAGCAGGACAGGCAGTATCAGGTGGCAGTGGCACCAGCAGTGGCACAGGCATGTGAGTCACCCTGCCCGGGGCTGCCGTGCCCACCAGCAGCAGGAGGGACCACGCTGCCAGGTTGCTTCACACCTTGCTGCTGGTCCCAAGATCACACCCAAGACACACCTGGGCAGGAGGATGGAAGCCAGAGCCAGGCCAGGGAGCTGCATTCCCAAAGGTGCTGAACAAGAGCAGAACCACAGTCCTTTTCCTGATTTGCCAAAACAAATTGCTGCTGTCAGAAAAGCCTTCACAGAAGGAGCCCACTCTCAGGTGCTGGAGCCCCTCACAGAGACCAGATCCTACCCAGGCAAGGGCACCAAGCCCAGCAACTTCTCCGGCTTCCCCTGCTGGGGCCCGTCGCCGCAAGAGGCAGAAATACTTGAATCACACTGACTTCCTCCCACAGAGGCAGAGTTACACTCATTAGGGCGATTCTCTTCCTGAGCAGCCCTGCAGAGATCGGATACTGTCTGGGCTCCCCGCCCCAACCCCGCACCTGCTGCCCCAGACTGCCTTTCATGGGGTGCCTGGTGCTAACAGCAAACCGCCAGCGCATGGCTCAGGCTGGAGCTGGCTCCCTCCCGGGGCGGCCCCACCAGTGGCCCAGAGCCCAGATGGGGCGCCGCTGCCGGCTGACCCACTTACTGGGGAGCAACCATCAATAAATCAGAGGAGATCGCCCTGCAGGTAGCCAAGTGGCTGCACACTGAGAGCAGTGGGCAGGAACCGTCCCCCCTCCCTCCCTTGGCAGGGGAGCCCCATCCCCAAGGCCGTGCTCAGAGCATCTCACTCAGCTCAGCCAAGTCTCTGATCTTCTCACCCAGAAGTAATGTCCCTGGCCGTGATTTCAATTGTTGAGCACTCTTTGGCACCCCAATCATTCCCGAGGACCTGGGGGATCCTAATTTGTCACTTCTGAACCCTGGGGGCTGGCCATGTCGCTGGCTTTTGTTTGAGCAAGGCAAGCACGATGACATGTTCCTCTGGATCAGCAGGTACCAGTGGTTGGAGACAGACCAGAGGTTGCCAAAAGATGTGTTTTACATCCTTCTGTCTTCTGCATAGCCTTGCATTGCATGGGAGCTGCAGCAGTTGGCAAGCGTGGGTCCAGAACCAAGGAACCAAGGGGACATCACTAAAAATAATATTTTTAGTGGAAAGTCTCCTTTTTTGATGACTTGTTCCAGATGTCTCAGCCAGCTCCTGTTCTGTGCTGCCCTTGCTAAGGAACCGGGTGGCGGGTTTCCTTCCCTCCTTCCCAGGACCATCTTGCTCTCTAGGATCTCAGGCCCCGGGGCTGACGCTGCAGCTGGTTCCTGAAAGTGGCTGAAATCCTGCTTCCACCTGGTAGCACACAGAAGGGATCTGTTTCCCAGTGCCTGACCGCAGGTGTCTGTCTGTGAAAAGCCCTCTCCCTGCCAGTCGGCATAGCAGTCAGCCCTTAGCAGCTTCAGTGGCACCAGCCCCTGGTGCCAGGCATAGTGGTGGGGAGCCTCACGGCTATGCAGGGCCAGCTCAGCGCAGAGCGTTGGGGCAAAGGCTGCTCTCACATGTGGCTGGGGGGAGAGGGGTGGAGAATTTGGCTTAGGCCTGGCAAAAAGGGTTGCCACGTGACCTCCAAGTGAGTCATAAAGTGCTGCGCCTCCCCAGCCCTTCTGCAGCCAGGAAGGCCTGGCTGGCAATGAACATGGCCCCTTCTCACCACCTGGTCACTGTTCGGGGGTGACAAGGGCTTGGCATGAAGGGTGCCAAGCGGGTTCATGCATGGCCTCATGAAATCTGGTCCTGCCGGCAGAGAGTTCACGGCTGACTCTGCCTGAAAAGCCTCTGCTTTGCAGCAAACTTGTGTTTATGTGGGAACTTCTGGGAAAGCCTGGCAGGGCAGGGGGACATCTGCCCTGCACATGTTAGCTTGTAGGAGAGGAGAGCACCCTGCACTTCAAAAGATATTCATTTTATGAGTAATAACATCCTGGCTCAAGGCAATCCCAGTGCCCCCCAGCCCTTGCCTTGGCCCCTGTGGCTGGAAAGAGCTCGGTTCACGGAGAGAGACACTCTGTCCTCCAATGCCCACTCAGGCTCATGGTGTAAGAAGACGTCCCCTGGCACTTCCCTTTTTCCGTGTGCAGCTCAAAATCCCCACAGTCAGGCACCCAGTGAGGATGTGACCCATCCTTGGGCCATAACCTCTCTCCAGCCGCTGGGAGCCATGGCATCTGGAAGGGATGGGTGCTTGGAGCCAGGAGGCCAGAGGGGGAGACTGAGCAGTCCCCACTGAGTCATGGGTATCCCCGTGCTGTCCCAGGCGATGGAATCCCTGTCTTTTCCAAGGAGACAGTTGCATGGCCAGCAAATTTCCTCTGCTCCCCAGCCACAATGTTCCCTCTCCTTATACCACCCCATCCCTTCTTGATGACCTCTTAATGAGGTCACGTTTCAGCAGGCGGCTCCCAAGCCCAGAATCCAATTAAAGCCTTTCTTTTGGAGTTGGCCTATGTGGAGCCAGCTGGGTACAACTCTTGCCGCAGGGCTCTCAGGGGGCCCCCTGCCGAACCTAGGTGGCGGGAGGCTCCTGGAAACATGCGCTCTTGCTTGGAAGCTAGCTTTAGGCGCTTCAGCCCTTGGCGTGGGGCTGGGAGGAGATGGCTCCTCACCATGGCTGGGAACCGCTGCTTCCAAAATGAGCCCTCACTGGTGGAGAGGGGAGTCTCCTGGCCTGTGGAGGAGCCCCGCGTGTTGGGCTCCATCACAGCGGGGGCTGTACCAGAGGGTTTTCCAGCCAGATGCGTGGCTTGGAAAGAGCCCCCAGGCTGAAGGCTCATGTTGCACAGCCAGTTGGCAAAGAGGTGCTACACCGCAGGGCAGAGGGGACACGATTACCAGCAGCAATGGCTGGCACAGCATGTGCTAACCAGCCACCTTTTCTCCTCTCCAGGTGGCTATGGATTGCCCTACAGCACTGGTAAGCTGCCCTATGGTGAGTGCCCTTGCTCCACGGTTGTAGCTCCTCATTACACCGCTGGCTGCAATAGCCACATGGGCCGCAGATCCTGGGTTACACTGAGGGCAGTGCCGGGCAGGCTGGCCAGGCTGCCCGCTGCTGCCCACAGAGGCGAGAGTGGGGATCGCCCCCCGGGCTGGGGCATTTGGACCCCCCCCCCCACAGGTTGCCCTACCCCTCGAGTCCCTTGTCTCTTAGGGCAGCCCAGTGGGAGCGAAGGCGATGCTGCCCACCAAGCACCCTTCTCCTAGTACAAGGTGGCCCAAGCCAGCGAGGCCAAGGCAATCCTCAGCAATGCCCAGGCTCCCACTTGCCTCAGGTGCAAGGAGCAGGCTGAGGCCAAACAAGGTTGTGCCTTGCCCTACCCTTTCAGTCCTCAGAGGCAGCAAGGCAGAGTGGAGGGAAAGGGAAAGTCTGATGCCCATGGATGTCTCCCGGCTGAAAGCAGCCCATCTCTCCGGGCTTCCCCACACTTCAGAGCCGTAAGCCGTTAATCTGTAGACATGTGGTGGCACCAGCGTCAGTCAGCTCTCAGCTTGCTGAGGCAGCTCGTGCAATGAGCTGAGTGTCTGGCTCCTAGGACATGTCCTGAGTGCCAGCCAGCTCCACTCAGGGATATTTGAACTGACATCTCTAGGATCTGATTCCCTGTTCTAGACAGAGGAGCTGGCTCAGGCGTCTCCACCACATCCCCAGATATGGGGGGAAAATCCTCTGGGCCAGGGGACCTGCTCTGTCTGCCTTGGCCCCCTTTCTAAGGCCAGTGCCTGACCTTGCTTTGCTTCTGTTTGTGATTGCAGGGCTTGGACCTGGTGGGATAGGAGTGGGAATCGGTGCAGCAGGAAAGGCAGGATTCCCCACTGGGACAGGTATGCAGCCTCTGTGCTCTCTTCCCAGACAGCTCCAGGGTGGGAGGTGGCACAGACCTACACAGACCTCTTTGAGTGTGTCTGTATCAGGGGGAGTGAGCATCCCGGTAGCTTCCCTGGTCTTCAGACAGGACATTTGGCACTGCCTGGATGGCTGGCAGTGGGAGCGGGCTGTCAATGCATCACAGGTTGGGAAAACCCGTGAAAGGGGTTGGGAACAACCAGGACACGTGTGTATGTCACGTCCTGAATGGGGTGGGGAGGGGGGGGATCGCTGCTGATAGGAGGAGATGGTCCCTGAAATCCCTGTGGGATGGGGGTGGGCTGAGGAGGAATGGTCCTGAGGCCTCAACCTCGCTTGCATACTTCCTCAGGGGTTGGAGCGCAGGCAGCAGCAGCGAAAGCAGCAGCTAAATATGGTGAGTCACCCACCACAGACACATCTAGGGCCTTGAAGGCTCACAGCACCCGTGGAGGGAGGGTTCCCGCTGGACTCTGGCTCCAGCCACCCACAGGCTGCAGATCCTCTACTGCCCCAGCCCCCCAGCAGCCCTGAGGGGTCTGGCATGTGCTCAGGGGGCATGGAGCTCACCAGCCTTTGTCTGGTATCTGTGGGGGGGCACCCATGGTTCCTTGAAGATGCCCTGCTGCCAAGGCCCCAATGGAGAGGCTGCTGTCTCCATCCCAGGCTTGCAGGTGCTCTACATCTCCAGCTCCAGGGAGCTGACAGTCCCCTTTTCCTTTGCAACAGGAGCCGGTGTCCTGCCCGGGGCTGGAATTCCTCCGGGGCTGGCATGCCTGGAGTTGGTGGAGTGGTGCCTGGTGTCGGAGCTGTCCCAGGAGTTGGAGGTAAGTCAATATCTGGACTCAGCCCTGGGGCTTGGAGATTCATGTCCCCCCCATCTCACACCACTGACTCTCTCCCCTGGTACTCCGGCAGTTGGAGGGCCAGCAGCTGCAGCTGCGGCAGCGAAGGCGGCAGCGAAAGCAGGAGCCTTTGGTGAGTTCCCTGCATGGTTAGTGTCTCAGCCAGGTCCGGCAGCTGGCTGCAGGGCCAAGCTTGCTCTCAGCTGTGCTTCGCTGCCACAGGACACGGCAGAGCAACGCATTAGTGCCAGAGGCTACACAGCTTAGCGTGACACATGGCTTTATCACCTGCCCTCAGCTCACCCTCTGCCCAGTGATGCATAAGCCTAGGACGCTCTCGCACACCTGGACCCCTGCGCAGCTGCTGCTTGCCTAAAGCTTAGGGCAAGGTGAAATCAGTCTGTTGAATGGACGACTTTTGCATGTGGAAGGCCGGCAAGATATTATACCTCCTCCAGGACCGGAGAGGGGCTTTATCACTTGAAAGGGGAGCTTTCAGCAGCTTGATGGGACAGTCGGGGCAGGAGGTAGCAAAGTCTTGACTGTCTCGTCTGGAAAAGCAGCTCTTTCTATAGTGGCTGGAGGGCTCCCTGTCTCCCCTGAGAGTCAGCAGCTGGGCGGTGGGAGACGCAGGCTGTGGTGTTAGCAGCAGAGAGGCATGGCAGTAGTCCTGCCACAGGGCCATAAACCTCTCTCACGTATTGCTCTTCTGTAACAGACGTGGCACGTCCAGGCACTGTGTGACAGGAGACATTGACAGCTCTTGTGGTTTTGCTGCACTGAGCTCCAGCAGGACTTTGCAGAGATGGTGTCTCTGTTGAGCTGTTGTTTGTTAGCAGAGGGACGTGATTGGTTATGTAGATCTCATGTTCGGTGCTCCTCTTGCTGGCAGGGGAAACCTATCTCACAGGAGAAAAGCGAGTAGCAAACAGTCACTCATTGGAGCGTCCAGAGGAAATGCGTCAGCACTGGGAGCAGCTGGGATTTACAAGCATGTCCTTGTGGGACAGCGGGGTCCGTCCAGCTGCCACCAGCTCCCAGGCGACCGTGCAGGCTCCAGGCCACAGGAGTGTGTGTGGGGAGCTGGGAATCCCCTGCCTGGATGTGTCTATGGGGCAGGGGACATTGCAGGAGCACCCTGGAGAGTCTCCCCAGGGCTTGCTGTAGACGGCAGGGTTCAAGTCACTGTGTGACTCACAGCCAGGGCTGACAGCCAGGGCAGAGCCCAACTCAGGAGCCTGCAAGCAGAGTGGAAGAGCTAAGCCCCAGGGCAGCATGTGGTTCCAGTTGGGCAGTGCAGAGGACATAGGACTTACTGCTCCTGGAAAAGCCCATCCTGTGTCAACCTGCGCTGGTACCTGCTATATGTCAGGGGGAGCGTGCGTGCACAGCCCAGCTCCCAGTGCCCTCTAGATGTAGCTCAGCTGCTGTGCTGCCTTCCTGGGGGAGGCACACACAGACACTAGTCTCCTTGGAAAAGCAGCTGGTTTAGGGGGGCAGGGTAGAGAGCCCTGTGCTGCACCAGCTTCTGCTGCAAGGCATCTGTGCCCCGACTGCTCCCTGGGAAGCTGGCCATGCTGTCTTGGAGCGGGAGCAGAAAAGTTGGAGGGGTCTGCAACCGCAAACCTTGGCATGTGTCTCTCCTCAAAGCCGTGTGCCCTAGAGCCTCCCACATCAGCAGAGGAGGCCAGCTCTGTGCCCAGGAGCTCTGGCTCCATCAGCGTCCCCCGGGCAGAGCTGCCAGGAACTGGAAGGTGGCAGGGAGTCAGCTGAGCACGGAGGACGCGACTGCATCTCCCCACTCGGCAGTCGTGGAGGGTTTAGTGGTGCAGCAGCTGAAGGTGGCTCTTGTTGCTCCCCTGAGACTGGCCTCTGGTTGTATAGTCTCGCCAAGGCATTGCTTTGGGCTGCTCTGAGCCCAAGCTCGCTGCAGCAGGGCTGCACCTTCGGCTGGCACCATGCCCCCTCCTGCGTCACTGTGCATTTTAGGGTCCGAAAAGCAGGCGAGGTCTGACTGCTCTGCTTCCTTCCAGGTGCAGGAGTCCTGCCTGGGGTTGGTGGCATCCCAGGCCTAGTGCCTGGTGTTGGCGGAGTCCCCGGCTTGGTGCCTGGCGTCGGAGGTGTCCCCGGGGTGGCAGGTGACTGTTCCCAAGAGCTTTGCCCATGTTGTGTCTCTCAGTGGGGAGCATGGGGTAGGTGTCTAAGGATCCCTCTCTCACTTGTTCCCAGGAGTTGGGACGCCGGCGGCAGCAGCAGCAGCGGCAAAGGCAGCTAAGTTCGGTAAGCGGTATCACCTCCCCATGTCCCACTGTTCTCCACAGCAGCCGGGTTATCCTGGGGACCTCTCCTACCCTCGAGGCATTACTGCATCTCCCCACTCCCCTCTGACATGGGGGACAAGGATGCTTCCAGGCAGACAGATCTCTCATGGAGATCTCTCTGAATGGCTCATGGTGAGGAAGCATTTAGGGAATCAATGTGCCCAGTCCAGCTTCTCGCTGCTCCATCTTGTCCTGCCTTTACCCTCAAGGTAGGGCTCTCCCCCTCCCTGGGTTTTCTGCAGACTGTGACAATGTTGGTGCTTTGCAAGAATCAATGGATGATGTTTTACTTGCTTCTTTGGATCTTATCTGAATTCTCAACTTTTGTTCCAAATCCTTTTTTCCAGCATCAGCATCAGAATTGATCCGGTGTCTAGGGCCTCTGAGCTCTGTCCCACCGCACAACAGGCAGAGATCCCATTGATCCCTTTGGGGCAGCGCTGCCCTGCGAGTCTCTGTCCCACCTGGCTCCAGGCTAACTCCCAAAGCCCTTTCCAGGGTCACTACCTTCCAAAAACCGGTCCCTGGTGGGATCTGTTCCTTTCCCCTCAGTGTTCAACCATCACTGGACTAAGCCACGTCTCACTAAGCTGGCCCAGCTCCCTGTGCAGGCCAGAACTGACCTCATCTTTTGATATATTTTCTAACTCCTCCAATTTTGAAGTTGTCTGCAAATTCTATCAACAAGAATTTGATGCCAGAAATCCTGCATTCAATTCTGGTCGCTCCTGGTCACAAAGGTGAGCTCCAACAGGAGCCCTGGAGAACCCAGAAATTGGGGGAGATGTTGAAGGGAAAGCCTGTTAGACAGAGGCTCTGGCAAGTACCTCTGACTTGGTCTGGCAAAACCCAGGCATCTGATAAGCATAACCGTCCCAAAAATACCTCTAGGGAGGAGAAGTCCTGAGGGGAAGAAGGAACATTGCTGAGCAGCAGCAAAGCTGAAAGGTTAGACAGAGAAAGGAGGCAAAAGTGATCCTAGGTTCCATCCAGAGCTTCAGGGTCCTTGTGTTGTTTGAAGAGTTAGTGGAAGAGGCTGCATGGTGTGGGTCAGATGCAATGGCCAGGTCCCAGGACTTTCTTCTGCTTCATCCCTGCAGCTCTTGCAAAGTCCCGAGAGCCCCCTGTGAATCATCTTCCTTGGTGGCAGCTTTCCTCTGAGAGTTCAACAGTTCCTGTCCATTTCATTCATTTCTCTTTTGCATCATGCAAAAAAAGTCAATGGCAGCCAGAGAATGCTGGGATTTAGGGAGAAACTTGGCAATGAAAACTTAACTGGTGTGTGCTCTGACACCAGCTCTGCTGGTGGTGCCAAGGACATGGCAGAGCAAGGCGCCGTGCAGACAACTTCGCTGGCACTAGGCCCCTTCAACAAGATGTGACCAAGCACTTCTCTCTGTAGCGAAAATGAGTGCCAGAGCACGAAGGCTGTGACTGCCCTCAGCAGCTTCCCAGGCTGGCTACTGCCTGAGCACCCAGCTCTTCTAGATGGTTACCTGGTGCATTCAATCCCTTCTCCTCTGAGCCTTGACCTCACCTCAAAGAGGGTCCTGCTGCACTGCTGTCTGCCCTTCCCCGTCACGCGGTTCCCTGGTCTGGTGATATCCCACCAGGCCATGGTCCCGCTGTCTGCCCAGCTGGACTGCATTCATGGCTCATCCCGGTTCTTGGCCAGTCCTTTTAAAACTTTTGCAGATTTAACATCCTTGCTGGGACTTCTTGGGAGACACAGGACTAGTCTCTCCCTTGCTGGGCTGTGCAACTTTCTTGGCCAAGGCCAAGGTGTTGGGGCACTTTCCCCATCCCAGCACTAGGATGGATCAGATCTGCCTCCGGGTCCCATGTCTCAGCTGGTGCTGCGACAAGACCCGGCCTCACCCCTCATTCCCTGCAGGAGCCGGTGTTGGCGTTCCTGGTGGAGTTCCTGGCATTGGAGGTGTACCTGGAGTGCCTGGTGTGCCTGGCGTGCCTGGTGTGCCTGGCGTGCCCGGTGTGCCTGGCGTGCCCGGTGTGCCTGGTGTGGCTGGAGTCCCCGGTGTGGTGCCTGGTGTTGGTGCTGTCCCAGGAGGTGAGTTCATGGGCTGGCATAAGCAGAGAGCTTGCTGCTGGCCCTCTCTCATCATCCTAACTCTCTCCTCTTCTACCCCAACAGTAGGTGCTCCAGCAGCTGCTGCAGCTGCAGCAAAGGCTGCGGCAAAGGCCGCAGCATTTGGTGAGTTACCTTTGTCCTGCATACGACTCGGCTGCCCATTCATGGAGGGAGGGAGGGAGGGAGGAATGCCTGCAAATGGTCACTGTGGCCAGCATCAAGCCAGAGAAGACATCCCAGGAAAGGGTAGGAATATCTGGCTCTGCCTGATGCCATTAAACCAGCTATGCAAAAGGAGCCGCGTGCCCTGAGTGCAACATCAAGCTGGAGTGGAGGGAAAATCCCCCAGGTGAGAGCCCCCAGGGCCAGAGTCTTGTGCCAGGAGCGGGGCAGCTGGCAGGCAGACGGACTCTCCCTCCGCACCCGCAGCCAGCCCTTGCACTGCGCCATGCACAGAGGGGGCCGCGCTCTGCTCATCTGCCCTGGGGCTCGGCCTCATCACTGAACCTTTCTGCAGGAGCAGGGCGCCTGCCAGGAGTTGGTGTGCCTGCTGGGGTTGGTGGTCTGGTGCCTGGAGAAATAGCAGGTAAAATGGTCTTTAAGTGAGGGGTGGTTATGGTCAGGCCTGGGACAGAGCTGGAGGAAGAGCTGCCAGAGCAGGTCCTGGCAGTGCTGGCTTGGGGATGCCTGGCATGGCCACCACATGCCACCCCTGCCTCACTCTTCTCCTCTTCCCCAGGAGCTGGAGGCCCAGCTGCAGCAGCTGCTGCTGCCAAAGCAGCCGCCAAAGCAGCCAAGTACGGTAAGATGGCACCTCCCAGGGGTTATTGCCACATGTCCTGCCTCCTGCTGCCTCCCCATCCCAGGCTACCCCCTGGTCAGGGACACTGTACGGAGCCCCTGTGGGTCTGGGCATGGGGTGAGCTCTGCAGGGCTGTGCATGGAATGAGCTCCCTGCACTGTAGGGGATGCTCGCCAGAGAACTGTCATGTATGGGGAACCCTGGACCTACCATCCAAACAGATTCTCATGCATCCAGCCTCCCATCTACCTGCCCATCTACCCCACCATCCATCTACCACCCACCCATCCCAGCCTGCCATGCCGCCTCCCTCTCCAGCAAGTTTCTGGCTTCCCATTCCAGAGCCCCAATCCTTCCCTCTCTTCTTGCAGGAGCAGGAGTCCTGCCTCCCGGCGTGGGTGCCCTGGCTCCTGGCGTGGGTGCCCTGGCTCCCGGTGTGGGTGCCCTGCCTCCCGGTGTAGGTGCTCTGGCCCCTGGTGTGGGTGCTCTGGCCCCTGGTGTTGGTGCCATCCCAGGTAAGCTCCTTTCCTCCTGCAGGAGGGACAGGCTGGGGTCCTTTGGCTGTCTATTGATCTGGGGGGCTGCCTGCACTGTCCCCTGGCCTATGCCCAAAGATGTCCCTGCCTTTCCCTGCCTCCCTCCTTCTTGTTGCCGTCGCTGAGTGCCTGATACCCTCATGGAGCCCATCAAGGCCAAGGAGCAGCGGGAGGAGGAGGGAGGCAGGTGACAGTGGCTGCTGGGCTGGTGCAGAGGCAAGTCCAGGACAGAATGGCTGTGAGGAAGGCCTTCACGGTCTCCGTCTTGCAGCCATCCTGTGGGCAATGTAGACGAGGTGGGAGGGACAGGCTCTGCCCAGGACTGCTGGGGAGGGCTGGCTCACTCTGGGGGATGCTCACCGTGTCTTGCTATCTCGGCTCAGGAGTCGGAGCTCCGGCAGCAGCGGCAAAAGCAGCAGCTAAGGCAGCCAAATATGGTGAGTCGCCAGTGAAGCCCGCTCCTCCCTGTCAAGCCCCTGTCAAGCATGCAGCAGGTAGCCCTGTGAGAAACTTGCCAGCGATCCAGCCTCTTGCAGCAAGGCAACGCAGGGAGCCGTGATGTAACAGCCTGGCCTGGGGAAAGCTGGGGGCTCCGGGGTCACCCTGATGCCAGGGCCCGCTGTCACTGGCTGGGTGCAGGGAGCCATCCATGCCCACAGCCCGGGCATGGGGAGGCACACCTCGGGCAATGCCAAAGGATCACCTTAGTTGTCACCCCCCCACGCAGCCTGCCCAAAGCTGCTGCCCTCTCCCCCCTCTCTCTTCAGGTGTTGGGGTCGGAGGGGTGCCAGGAGTGGTGCCTGGGGCTGCTGGAGTGCCAGGAGTGACGCCTGGAGTCGGTGCTGTGCCAGGTTTGGTGCCGGGCGTGGGAGTACCCGGTACTGGCATTCTCCCTGGAGCAGGTAAGTGCCTCATTTCCCCCTGGCTGAGGATCAGCCTGGGGACAGTGGTGGCTGAGGATGGCAGTGCCAGCTGAGCGGAAGGACTAAAAGCTGTTGAGCCATGCAGGGTATTCAGGGGGGCCAGGCAGAGGGCGCAGTATGGGTGAGAGGTGCAGGGGGGCCAGGCACTGGGCGCAGTATGGGTGATCGATCTAAGCATGGTGCCCTCGTTTGCTTTGCAGGCATCCCCCAAGTAGGGGTGCAGCCTGGTGCTAAGCCTCCCAAATTTGGTACGTATCTCTGCCACTCTTCCCCAGCCCACTCCCTTCAGACACCCCAGGTGGCACCGCCAGGCCTGCCCACCTTGGTCCTCCACCAGGCTCTCTCCTTGCTTTGCCATCTGGGTCCTGCCCTCCCGTCATGCTCATGCATCCCCATCGGGGCCAGATCCTTGCCCTGCCTGCTGCTGCTGCTCTTGCTTGGCTCCTCGGCCTCCATCCCCACTGCGCCAAGCTATGTGAAGGGCTTCCAGTGCTCACAGCCATGCCGGCTAGGCTGGGGGAAGCTGCTCTCCCCTTCAGGGTTTTGCTAGCCAGCATCTCCTGTAGCACCCAGTTCCCTGATACTCACCCTACTATCTGCTGCAGGGTCCCAGCCAGCCCAGGAGTGTTGACTAGTCAGCCACAAGCCACTCTGGGAAAGGGTAAAGGAATCTGGGCTTAACCAGACAGCCTGGTGGTTACAGACTACAGGATCCCTGCCCACAGGCCTGCCACAGGTGTGTGCAGAGCAGGAAAGGCCTGGGAGCTGGTGCGCCCTCAACCATGGGTGCAGAGTGCCACCCCGTGCCCCCTCTGCTTGGACTCCTTGGGAACATTTTCCCCTGCTCTGCATTGCTTGGGCCAATCCATCTCCCACAGCCAGCGTGGCCAGTGAGCCCTCCCCAGGTCTCCTCAATCAGAGTGCTGCATGACGGCTGTCAGGACCCCCCAGGGTGGGTGTCAGGACCACGCCGGTGGGTCAAACCCTGGCAAGGGGTGCCCTGAGCTCTCCAGTGCTCTCTGTTCATGCTGGGCTGTGGGAAGATGCAGGTTCAAATGTCTTTTCTCCGGCAGGAGTTCCCGGGGCCGGAGTCCCAGGGGTCGGCGTCCTCCCAGGTACGATGCGGCAGGAGCTGAGCACCTATGTCAGGGCCTCTCTGGGCAGTGTGGGTGCACGGGGCAAGAAGGTGCTCCACAAGGGCACGGGGCAAGCAGGGATGGCCCGAGGAAGGCCAGGACACGAGTGGGGTTGGGGCAAGGAGTGGGTAGAGCTCCCTAAACTAGCACTTGGCAGGCTGTGTCAGCCATGGCCCCAGCTGGAACGGAGATGTCCTGTGCAAGTCCCTCTGACCCAGGAACCATGCGGCAAGGGCAAGGCCAGGCGCTGCCAGGCCAAATCTGCCCACACTTGCTTTCCCCCAGTCCCCATCTACCAAAGGCTGGGAGAATGCGGTACCCACTGCAAGCTGCCCCCAAGACAGCCCCCATAGCCCCTGTGGCCCATCCCTCAGGACCACCCACTGCCTGTCCCCCAGACCCTCACCCTGGCTCCCTGCTGCAGGTGGTCTCGGAGTTGGTGGCCTTGGAGTTGGCGGCCTTGCACCCGGTGGCCTAGGGGCTGGTGAGTGACGCTGGCCAGACGTGGCATCGGTGGCTCCCCGGGGCCGGGGTGCGAGGCCAGGGTGCAGAGCGGAGGGGCTGCTGCCTGCCACCAGAGCTGCCCGGAGAGCTCCTAAACATGCCAGAAGCATGCCAAAAAGCAAAGTGCGTTTACAGACTGCACGGGACTGGAGGCTGCTTTTGTGCTCTCCTAGCTATGTCCCTGCAGAGCTGGGATTTGGGGGAACAGGGAAGGGGGTCACCAGCCCGGACCATTGCTGCCGCTCCAGCTCTGCCTGTCCCGAGGGAGCTTGGGCATCCTGGGAGCTTCGCCAGGAGCCTGGGCATGTGTGGCCCTGCTGCCCCATGAGGTTTCTGCCCCAGCCCAGCTGTTAGTGTGCCCGGTGTCCCGAGCTGTGTCTGCCTGGTGTGGCACAGCCAAGACACGCTGTCCTGTCTCCAGTCCTGGGGGGTACGGCCTCCGGAAGGGATGGCCACCACCAAACAGGTACCAATGGCCACGGCTCCCGCACACACCCGGCCAAGGGGGGCGGGGAGGGACAGTGCCGTGCCATGTCCCCAGCTTGTCAGTGCCCGCAGAGATGCAGAAGCTGTCCCTGCCTGGGGGCCCCTCCAGGCTAGTAGCCAGGGCCGCCAGCCATGGGCCATGAGCTGTACTGACTTGCTCCCGTTCTCTGCCGCAGGGCTCTTGTTTCCTGGGGCTGTTGGCAAACCTCCTAAAGCAGGTAAGAAACAGCGGGGCTGCTAGCTGCCCCGGGGAGGGGCCGTGGGGGCAGGATGGGCTGGCAGGGGCAGGGCTGGCAGGCACAGCAGCCCCCCGCACTCCCGCGCCTGACCAGGGCTCTCCATTCCTGCAGGTTTTGGTGCTGCGGGGCTGCAGCCAGGTGAGTGCCGCGGTGGCGGGCACGGGAGGGTGGGAACATGCCACCCAGCACACAGCACTCTGCCCTGCTGCCGTCACACGCTGGGCATGCTAGGGCCACGCGAGAGCTCCCTAAAGCCAGGTAGGCACCCATGGGTGCCCTGGCAAGGACAGGGGCTCTTTACAGTGGTTCAGGCCTGTTTCGCTGCCTCCCTGCAGTGCCCACGGCCATTTTTGGGTGCACAGGGTGCCACGCAGGGGCTGGGGGTGGCAGCCGCTTTCACGGGCTTTCACGCGCTGTTGCTCTTTCCCCAGGGGTTGGAGTTCCTGGTTTTGGTGTGTCACCGATATTTCCAGGTACTTCGCCTAGCTCAGTTCCTCTACTGGCACCAGGGCCTGGCTCTCCCATGCCTTTTTGCTCTCTGGGGAAGCCCAGCTAGCATGTGGGGACACAGACACGCCTCCTGCAGAGCGCGGGGAGCAGCCCGTGGCCTGTACCTGGGGACGGTCCCGAGGGTGTGGGGCAGGGGCTGCGCCCAGCGATGCTCAGACTGGTGGGGTGCGGGGCAGGGGCTGAGCTCAGGGATGTCCTTTCCGGAGAAGCCTGGCCCACGCAGGAGCCTGGCCCAGCCATAGCGCCCGTGGCAAGCTCCAAGCGCGGAGCAGGCCGGGGTCGTGGAGATGTCCATGGGGTAGCGC